CACATTTTGAGGGCAGAGTAAAGGAACTTTTACAATGCAAACTGTAAGAGCATACAGGAGCAGAACTAGGCCATTAAGCCTGTAGAGTCTGCCATTCAGTCATGGCTGATATGTTTCTCACTCAATTCTCCTGCCTTTTTCCCATAACCCTTGATCTTTTTACCAATCAAGAACCTACCTATCTCTGCCTTAAATAGACTCAATGACTTGGCCTCCATAGCCCACTACATCAATGAGTTCCACAGATTAGCCATTTTCTGGCAGAAGAAATTCCTGCTTATCTCTGTTCTAAAGGGTCATCCTTTCATTCTGAGGCTGAGCCCTTGGCCTAGTCTCTCCTACTCGTGGAAACATCTTCTCCATGTCCACTATATCCAGGCCTCTCGGTTGGTATTCTGTAGGTTTCAATCAGATCCCTTCCCATCCTTCTAAACTCCATCGAGTACAGATTCAGAGTTCTAAATTGAACCGCATATAACAAACTCTTTAACCCCAGGATCATACTTGAAAACCTCCATTGGATCCCCTCCAAGGCCAGCGCATCCTTCCTTAGATATGGGGTCCAAAGCTGCTCACAATATTCCAAGTGCAATCTGACCATAGCCTTGTACAGCCTCAGCAGTACTGACTAATATTCCTCTGACTAATATTTCATTTAGGGATGCCACAGGATGGCTGGCATAGGTAAGATAAAATCCGCTCTTCATACAGCAAGAGGTGCATGGATTAGGGAAGAGGCACATTTTGAGGGCAGAGTAAAGGAACTTTTACAATGCAAACTGTAATCTAGTCCTTTGAGATGAATGCTAATATCTGCGGTAGCGGCGGCAGTGGCGTCAAGAACAGATAGAGCGAGATAAGCAGAGGACTCATCGAAGTGTGTTGAACTTTTAACTCATTCCTTTATTTTCCTAGTTTAAACTATGAAAGACTTTAATGAAAACTATGACCTATTTCTTTATTTTTCCACCATTCTATGAAGTAATGCTTAATTTTTTAACTCTTCTTTCTCTTACTACCTTGTACCTAATTTTTTTTTGTACCTAGATACCTAAGGTAACTAAGATGGGCCCATGTGTGGCGACATTATACACTTTTCACTATACTCCTGTACTCCTTTGAGTACACGCAACAATAAAATCTAAAATCTAAATAATATTACATTATCCTTCCTAACTGCCAACTGAACCTGCATGTTATCCTTAAGAGAATGCTGAACTAAGACTCCCAAGTCCCTTTGTGCTTCAGATTTCAGAAGCCTTTCCCCATTTAGAACATAATCTATGCTTCTTCTCCCCACCAACATGCATGACCTCACATTTATTTATTGTATTCCACCTGCCCCTTCTTTGTGCACTCCCCTAGCCTCTCCAAGTCCTTTGTAGCCTCCCCGCTTCCTCAACACTGCTTGTCTCTCTACCTATCTTTGTGTCATTTGCAAATTAGCAACAATGCTCTTACTTCCTTTGTCCAGATCATTAATGTATAACGTGAATGGTTGTGTCCCAATACTGACCCCTCAGAACTCCACTAGTCACCAGCTGCCATCCTGAAAAAGATCCCTTTATCTCTACTCTCTGCCTTCTGCGAGTCAGCCAATCCTCTATCCATGCCGGTACATTGCCCCTAACACCATAGGCTCTTTCCTTATTTAGCTGCTTCCAGTGCGTGACCTTGTCAAAGGCTTCTGGAAATCCAAATAGATCACATCCACTGGCTCTTCTTTGTCTAACTTGGTCATTATCTCCTCAAAGAACTCTTAACAGGTTTGTCAGACAGGACCTCTACTTGATGGAGCCATGCTGACTCGGCCCTGTTTTACCATGCCATAAAATTCTAACAGGACTGGGCAGGATAAATGCAGGAAGGAGGTTCCCCATGACCAAGGAGTCTGGAAACAGGGGTCACAGTCTCAGAATATGAGGCAGGCTATTTAGGACAGAAATGAGGAGAAATTTCTCTGCCCAGAGACCAGTTGAGGCTAAAAATTGAACATTTTCAAGAAGGAGTTAGAGAAAGTTCATGGGGCTAAAAGGATCAAAGGGTTAAGGGAGAAAGTAGGAACAGGGGACTGAGTTGGATGATCAGCCATGTTCATATTGAATGGCCAAGCAGGCTCAAAGGGCCAAATGGCCTACTCCTGCTCCTGTTTTCTATGTTTCTGTATTTCACAAGAGTCTTGAGTCTGGAATTTCTTTCTTGATTTAATGTTTTTGGACAGCAGTAGGACGAGTGTTGGCATCTTGACGAACATTCCTAACCTTAAAAATCAGTTTAGTGATTGCTTGCCAGAGTGATGGAATGGCAAAAAGTTCACTGAAGGACGGAAGAAGAAGTGAGTTTAAAAAAAACCAAGTAAGAAACTGGCAAAAATTCAGAATCTTCTTTTGGTTTACGTTTTTCAAGCATGTCGCTGCGTTTTTGATTATCGAGTTACCTTTTTGCCCCTCACCTATTTTACACTGAGGACTGTGGGGATTTGCTTTAGGAATAACCCTGTACCATGTTACTTGGATGAAGAACGTGGAAAACAAAGCTTCAAAGGAGAATGTGGCAGTCATTCACTGGTATTTTTACGACCAAAGATATAGGCCAAGCAAGTCTCTATCCATGTGATGATGGAACAAAAAGAAAATGTAATCAACTTGATCAGAAATGACACACCTGCCAACCAAGTGGACTTGAACACAAATCTTTTGGCCCAGAAGTAGGGACATTACCAACACACCACAAAAGATATTGATGTTGTAGCAGTACTTGCAGGGAATGAACTTCACCAGGGACACCACTGTCTATACCATGTGCTGGAATCTCTAAACACCCCACCTTTAACATTTCAGTACTCGGGATTATATAGTGAACATACAATACCCCTGCATTGCATGATTATTGCAGGCTATGCTTGGAGATGTTGGCACGTCGTTTTTGAAAAACGCAGCGAGTTGTCAACTGGGATACACTGGAGGAAGCAGATCCAATAGTAACTTTCAGTCAGGATTAAGGTTGGTTGGCTCAGTTGGCTGGATGGTAGGTTTGCAATGCAGAGTGATGCCAACAGTGTGACATGAGGTTACCATGAAGGACTGTCCTTTTCCACCTCTTCTGCTCACCTGAGGCGTGGTGATCCTCAGGTTAAACCACCCTCAATCATCTCTTTCTAAGGAGAGAGCAGCCCAATGGTCTGGTAGGACTGTGGTGACTTTACTTCAGATGCATACTTGAAAGGGAAATGAAAACATAGGGTGAAGGGGAAAGAGCAGGGACGTGAGATTAATTGGATAACCCTTCCAAAGAACTGGCGCAAGCATGATGGATTGAGTGGCCTCCTTCTGCATTATAGCAATGCAATGCTTAAGCAATCTATATTGCACAGATTTATCAGACCTGCTGGCGTTTATTTCTTTTGGATACGGCAGGCATTGCAATCTCAGTCAAGACCTGTAACTTTTTATGTAAAAAAACAATTCTTAAATCCCAGTTATTTGCTGAAAGAATGAAACTCCAAGAGTTCACTCTTTAAAGCAAAATACTTTTTTTAACCGTAACACAGTAAAAACAAAGCAGACACTAAATAATATATTGGATAACCGCATATGCTCTCAAACTCAGCATCAACATAAATTAAACCTGAATTAAAAGCCAAATTATGGTTAATTTAAAAATGATAAATATGCATTAAATGACAACTGCAACTAATCTTATGGATTGGCTCAGCAACCCATTCATCATATTTTCCAATAATCTCAGTCACAGAATCCTTCAACAGTCTTGTCTTCATCACTAGGAATTTCAGTTTCTCTTCTAATAGGATTTGGCCTGATCCCCAGTAGACAGAAGTTCACAATCAACCTGGGTTCCATAAGTATCACCTTCACCAAAAATGGCACGTATCTGCAGAATTTCCTCCTCCTGGATAACGTAAAACCACCAGCAGTATCTCCAAATGACTTCATTTTAGTCTATTCTCAGCTACTGGATCTAGCCTTAGCTATCCCATAATACTGGGATCATCATCTGAAGCTGGAGTGCTCCATGTTCTTCTATATGGTTTCAACCAGGTTTGGTCAACCCAGAAACAGAAAGTGATGGAGGAACTCAGCAGATTTGGCAGCATTTGTGGAGAAAACTTCAAGTCCAATGACCCTTTTTCATAACACTTCTTGAGTTTATTCACTGTGAGGGTCATGAATCTTGGAATTCTTTACCCAGAGTGCTGTGGAGGTTCCATCATTGAATACATTCACAGCAGAGATTGATATATTTGTATACATTGGATATATTAAAGCCATCAAGGAGTAGTGTGGGCAAATGGTATTCAGGTAGAAAATCAGCCATTATCTAGCTGAATTGTAGAACAGGGTGGAGGGGTTGATTAGCCTATCTTACTTTTATTTTCTGCCTCCTTTCTTTTCCTTTTCAATTAGGTTCTATCTTAAAGCCTTGAAATGGTGGATTTCATCAACTAGTTGTAGATCTGTAGAGCTTTCATCAGCATCATGACATATGTTGGAATTGTATGGAAAGGAAGCATTCCCAAAGTACAGAGAGACATTGAGAGCTTTACTGTATACTGTGCTGTATTTGTCTTGGGAGTGTTTGGTGACAGTGTGAAAGGAGCCTTACTTTCAGTTTGAAAGAGAGACATTTATTGCCTCAATGTGCCCTTTTTAATCAATATTGACCAGTTTTACAAGAATCTTACTCACTCATTGTGCAGCTTGATTGTGATCAATGCACCATGTACATTCTGATTACACAAAAAGTAAAATACCATGGATGCTGGAGAAACTCAGAAATCAGGCAGCATCTGTGGAGAGAGAAACAGTTGCCATTTCAGGTCAACGACGTTTCATCTGAACTTGATATTTGGTTTCTTGGCAGCTACTGTCATATCTTTACCATAGTCTCAGCAACAAAGGTAGTTTTCTCAATAATGTGGGGCTTAACCAATGATCCTTAAGGGGAACAGTGGGGGGGAAAATACACGAGTCTATAAACATTAGGTAAATTTCGACTTTTACACTTTTCAAATGGTAGGACGATGGATGTTGTCTATATGGACTTTAGTAAGGCTTTTGACAAGGTCCCACATGGCAGGCTAGTCATGAAGGTTAAGTCGCATGGGATCCAGGGAAAGCTAGCTAATTGGATTCAAATTGGCTCAATGGTAGGAAGCAGAGGGTGATGGTTGAAAGTTATTTCTTGGACTGGACCCCTATGACTACTGGTGTGCCACAGGGGTTGGTGCTGGGACCTTTGTTATTTGTTATTCACATAAATGATCTGAAATGTGAATGTACAAGGCATGATTAGTAAGTTTGCAGATGATACAAAATTGGGAGGTATTGTTGATAGCGAAGAAGGTTACAAAAAATTATGGAGGGATCTTGATCAGATGGGAACGTGGGCTAAGGATTGGCAAATGCAGTTCAATACAGGTAAGTGTGAGGTGTTGCACTTTGGAAAGTCAAACCAAGGTAGGATTTAAACAATAAATGATAAGGTCCTCAGGAGTGTTGTGGAACAGAGGGACCTAGGAGTACATGTACATAGTTTGTTGAAAGCGGTGTCACAGGTGGACAGATTGGTGAAGAAGGCATTTAGCATGCTGACCTTCATTGGTCAAGGCATTGAGTATAGAAGTTGGGATGTTATTGTTAGAGTTGTATAATTCGTTGGTGAAGCCACACTTGGAGTATTGTGTACAGTTTTGGTCACCCTTTTATAGGGAAGACATAGTTAAACTGGAAAGTGTGCAAAGACAGGACAATAGGCCTAGTTATAGGGAGAGGTTGGCCAGGATAGGACTTTATTCCTTGGAATGTAGGAGAAAGAGGGTTGACCTTATTGAGGTATATAAAATCATGATGGGCATATACAGCATGAATGCGTACAGTCTTTTTCCCAGGGATGAGGAATTGAAAACTAGAGGGCATAGGTTTAAGGTGAGGGGGGAAAGATTTAAGAACGACCTGAGAGGCAACAACTTCTTCACAAAGAGAGTAGTTCATATATGGAATTGGCTGCTCAACAAAATGGTTGAGGCAGGTACAATAGCAACATTTTAAAAAACATTTGGATATGTACATTGATGGGAAGGGTCAGAGCAATATGGACCAAATGCGGGCAATTGGAACAAGCTGAGTGGTCAGCATGAATTAATTTGGGCCGAAGGGCCTGTTTCCATGCTGTTTCCACCTATGACTCAATAACTTTGATGCAGAGTCAAGATGATTTCATTATCTAAATAAAAACCAAATAACTGCTGATGCTGTAAATTAGGAACAAAAGCAGAAGTTGCTAGAAAAGATCAGCAGGTCTGGCAGCATCTGTGAAGAAAAAACATAGAGTTAATGTTTCAGGTCCTGTGACCCTTCCTCAGAACTGATGGTAACTAGGAAAATGCCACTTTTTCTGCAGAAGATAGAATGGGAGGAGGAGGTAACACTTTAACATACCACCCTGTTCCCTAGCCAACATTGCTATCTCAGGCTTGCTGCAGTGTTCCAGTGAAGCTCGGTGCAAGCTGGAAGAACAACGCCTCATTTTCCGCTTGGGGATCCTGCAGCCCTCCGGACTCGATATCGAGTTCAATAATTTTAGGGCCTGAACTCTCCCATGTCCTAGGCCCCTACCCCACACACCAGGCCTTGTTATCACATAGTCTGCCATTACACATTACCTATTGTTAGCCACTAACAGTCTCCATTAACAGTTATTCACCCTGCCAGCCAGATCGTTATCAACTCTTTGTCTGTCCAACTGTTCTTCTTTCTCGAACAAAAACAAAGTTGCTGGAAAAGCTCAGTAGGTCTGGCAGCATCTGCGGAGGAGAAAACAGAGTTAACGTTTCGGGTCCAGTGACCCTTCCTCAGAACTGATGGTGGCTGGGAAAACGTCAGTTTATACGCAGAAAATAGGGAGGTGGGTGGGGTAGGGAGTAAACAATAGGTTAGAGCCCAAAGAGAGAGAAAGATAGTTGGACAAAGGAATTGCTAACGATCAGGCTGGGAGGGTGAATAGTTGTTAATGGGGACTGTTAGTGACTAACAACAGGGGGTGTGTAATGGCAGGCTGTGTGATAACAAGGCCTGGTGTGTGGGGTGGGGGGCTGGGACATGGGAGAGTTTAGGCCCTAAAATTATTGAACTCAATATTGAGCCCGGAGGGCTGTAGGGCCCCCAAGCGGAAAATGAGGTGTTCTTCTTTCTCTTTGGGCTCTATCTCCACCTATCATTTACTCCTTACCCCCTCTCCCCCACCCTATCTTCTGCATATAAACTGACATTTTCCTAGCTCCATCAGTTCTGAGGAAGGGTCACCGGACCCGAAACATTAACTCTGATTTTTCTTCACAGATGCTGTCTGACCCGCTGACCTTTTCCAGCAACTTCTGTTTTTGTTCGTTATCTAAATCATTGTTGTCATTATGTATCCACTTTCAAAATGTTTGTTGACCAAATGACACTATTTCATTTGGATTAGGAGTAACGGGTGTTTGCATTATCAATGACTTGCATTCTATTGAAAGTTAATAATGCATTGTCTGACTAAATAACAAATGGAATAATGTTGTGAGTTTGAGCTCAGTAAGCATTGAAGATCTTGTAAAAATACTAACACCACAGTTGACCTGTGTGCAGAACCAGTATTCAGAATTTGATATTCATTGCTTTCCATCTTTCACAGATAATTGAGTTAAAGTTTGAGAAGTTTGATGTTGAAAGAGATAACTACTGTCGCTATGATTATGTTTCTGTATTTAATGGTGGTGAAAATGATGAAGCAAAACGGATTGGAAAATACTGTGGCGACAGTCCTCCAGCGTAAGTGATGTCACATTAGTTTTGTACATGTTATTGTTTCTTTTGTCGTAGAATCATAGAATGCTCTGGCACAGAAGGCACTATATAGTCTGCATCAGTTCTCTCCAAGAGCAATTCAGCCTGTCTCACTCTTCTGTTCTTTTCCCATGCCACTTCAAATTTTGTATCTTCAGGTCTCTGTCTAATTCCTTTTTAAATCTGCCCCCACTATACACACTTGTGCAGTCAATTCTAAATATTAATCACTCGTTGCACAAAAAAACTTTATCATTTTGCCTTTGATTTAAAAAAAAACATTCATGATAAATCTGGGCCCTAGATTTCTACCCCTGCAACAAGTTAGCCAGGAAGGACCTAAAGAGAGAGCTAGGAAGAGCCAGGAGGGGACATGAGAAGTCTTTAGCAGGTAGGATCAAGGAAAACCCTTAAGCTTTCTATAGGTATGTCAGGAATAAAAGAATGACTAGAGTAAGATTAAGGCCAGTCAAAGACAGTAGTGGGATGTTGTGCGTGGAGTCCGAAGAGATAGGAGAGGCGCTAAATGAATATTTTTCGTCAGTATTCACACAGGAAAAAGACAATGTAGTCGAGGAGAATACTGAGATACAGTCTATTAGACTAGACGGGATTGAGGTTCATAAGGAGGAGGTGTTAGCAATTCTGGAAGGTGTGAAAATAGATAAGTCCCCTGGGCCGGATGGGATTTATCCTAGGATTCTCTGGGAAGCTAGAGAGGAGATTGCAGAGCCTTTGGCTTTGATCTTTATGTCGTCATTGTCTTCAGGAATAGTGCCAGAAGACTGGAGACTAGCAAATGTTTTCCCCTTGTTCAAGAAGGGGAGTAGAGACAACCCTGGTAATTATAGACCAGTGAGCCTTACTTCGGTTGTGGGTAAAGTGTTGGAAAGGATTATAAGAGATAGGATTTATAATCATCTAGAAAGGAATAATTTGATTGGGGATAGTCAACACGGTTTTGTGAAGGGTAGGTCATGCCTCACAAACTTTACTGAGTTCTTTGAGATGGTGACCAAACAGGTGGATGAGGGTAAAGCAGTTGATGTGGTGTATATGGATTTCAGTAAAGCATTTGATAAGGTTCCCCATGGTAGGCTATTGCAGAAAATACGGAGACATGGAATTGAGGGTGATTTAGCGGTTTGGATCAGAAATTGGCTAGCTGTAAGAAGACAGAGGGTGGTGGTTGATGGGAAATGTTCATCCTGGAGT